GTGTCTTCTTGCAGGTGCGCGGCGGCTTCTTCAACCTCAGGTCCGCTATGACGGACTATCTCCCTCGGCTGCCACCTCGGCTATGGCGCATCAGGCCCTGCTTACGACGGCAGCCATGGAATAGCGGGTACCAGCTCCGATACCAATGCAATCAGACTCGTTTTCAAACACACTTTTCACGCATGTAAACAGTAACGCAGCATACTGGCGACATGCGCCCACTCAAAACTCAGAGATATGGCTTTCAGATACGAGTTCACTCTCAATTGGCTATGGCGACTTCAGCACCAAACATCTCACTGTTCACATAAACTGGATCACCCTGGATATCCCACACGCATCACTCTAACACTCGAACCCACATACACACTCACTACTAACTATAGCTATGGCAGCTGTCGCTGCATCTACCCTATCGCTATGCTAACTCCCTCACTCTAGCCCAATGCGTCCTCCGGGCTCATCTGCAGACCTCCTTGCACAAGTCGCTGTGGCAGTGCTTCCGCATGGCTCACGCAGGAATGAATGAATGGTTGGGCGCTGCCTCTTGATTTATACTTCAGAAATTCGTTGGTCTGCCCTTTGCCATCGGCCCTTGGTGCTCACAGTCCCCCTGTGGTACTTGCTAGACTGGACTGAGACTCTCTAGACCCTTATGCCGACTGTAGGCAGTCGTACCGTCGCCTCAGTGCAGTTGCACTGAGGTCCTACCTGTTGACCTTGCCACTTGTCTTCGTCTGAAAACGTGGGCCTACCTTAGACTCACCACTTGACCACTTGCCGACCTTCTAGAAGGACTAMAGCTAGGCCTCTGGACTCTACTTRGACTCCTACCTTACAGGTCTACAGTTCGAATCTCCCTACAGCCTACAACCTACGGCGACTTACTTACCACTGGCTATCGTGCAGGTCACGGGTTCAACTCCAGGGAACTGTGCARATACTGTACACAGGTAAGCTGAGGTCAAGGGATCGACCCCTGGGATCTGCATCGGCTACTGCCAAAGGTGAAAACTGTGTCATAGGTAGTGCTATGATTCTTCTATGGACGATCTCATGCTCAAAACTTGTGTTTTGATCTACTATAAATATTGTTTTTCACTCACACACTAGTAGGTAGTGCTCTGATTCTTCTATGGATGATCTCATGCTCAAAACTTGTGATTTGATTTACTCTAAGTCTTGCTTTTCACTCACATGCTAGTAGGTATCGCTCCGATTCTTCTATGGATGATCTCTTGTTCAAACTTGTGATTTGGTCTACTCCAACTCTTGCTTTTCACTCACATGCTAGTGCTTTGATTCTTCTATGGATGATCTCTTGCTCAAAACTTGTGATTTTGTCTACTCCAACTCTTGCTTTTCACTCGCATGCTAGTAGGTAGTATTCCGTTTCAAACTTGGTTGAACTCATGAGCCGTGAATATTTGTTTGAGCAAGTCTCACTCAAATGCGTAACTCAACTCTCGCATGATGACATTCCGTTTCAAACTTTGTTGCATTCATGAGCGATGAGCATGTGTTTGAGCAAGTCTCACTCACATGCATGACTCAACCGTCACATGATGACATTCAGTTTCAAACTTGGTTGCTTTCATGATCCATGAGCATGTGTTTGAGCAAGTCTCACTCACATGCATGGCTCAACTCTCACATGATGACATCCCGTGTCAAAATTGGTTGCTTTCATGAGCCATGAGCATGTGATTGAGCATGTCTCATTCCCATGCATGACTCAACTCTCACATGATGACAATCTGGTTCATACTTAGTTGATCTTTCCTCATGTGCACGTGTTTTTCACTAATTCAATTTTTTCACTGTCAAGTTCATGTGAGTTATAATGTTCCGGTTCATACTTAGTTGATCTTTCCTTCATGTGCATGTGTTTTTCACTAATTCAATCTTCTCATTCTCAAATTCATATGAGTTGTAGTGTTTCGGTTCATACTTAGTTGCACTTTCCTCCATGTGCATATGCTTTTCACTAGTTCAATCTTCTCATTGTCAAGTTCGTGAGTGTTGTGATGTTTCCTCCATGTGCATGTGCTTTTCACTAGTTCAATCTGCAAATTGTCTAGTTCGTAAGTGTTGTGATGTTCCGGTTCATACTTAGTTGCCCTTTCCTCCATGTGCACGTGCCTTTCACTAGTTCGATGTTCACATTGTCAAGTTCATGTGAGTTGTAGTGTTCCGGTTCATACTTAGTTGATCTTTCCTTCATGTGCATGTGTTTTTTAATAGTTCAATCTGCAAATTGTCAAGTTCGTGAGTGTTGTGATGTTTCGGTTCATACTTAGTCGATCTTTCCTCCATGTGCATGTGCTTTTCACTAGTTCAATCATCTCATTGACAAGTTCATGTGAGTTGTAGTGTTCCAGTTT